AGAGAGATAGATAGATAGATAGATAGATAGATAGATAGATAGATAGATAGATAGATAGATAGATAAACCATTTTAAAAGCTTATTGCTGTGACCGGAGAGTAGGGACTGGAGACTGAAACATCAAGATTAACATATAAAAGACCAGTTGCAGAGAAAGACTAGACACCTCCTCTCTCACCTGGTCTTCCTGAAACACAATGTGTTCCAGAAAAGCCAGCCCTATACTAACTTGAGAGAGGCAGGTACTGCATCTGGTTGCCCAATACTTTTTGGCTTCTTCCTTCAGCTCACTAACCCATTCCTGTATTTTCCCCTTTAAAAAAAAAAAGTTGGTCTGGAAATATGGCTCAGCAATTAAGAACACTGGTTGTTCTTGCAGAAGACCTGGGTTCAAATCCCATCACCCACATGGCAGCTAACAACTGTAACTCCAGTTCCAGGGGATCCAATGGCCTCTTCTGTCCTTAACGGGCATTGCACGACACGGGTGCACTTACCTACAGGCAGGCAATACACTCACACATAAAAATAATAAAATATATTTTTTAAAAAAGTGTCTATTTCTATTTTTTTCTAATTTTATTATTTTTATTTTATATCTATGAGTGTTATGCCTGCATGTGTGTAAGTGCACTCATGTTGTGCCGTGCCCTCAGAGGTCAGAAAAGGGTGTCAGATTCCCTGGAATCGGAGTTATGGATGTTATTAGCTGCCATGTGGGTGCTGGGATTCAAACCTGGGTCTTCTGCAAGAACAACCAGTGCTTTTAACTGCTGAGCCATCTCTCCAGTCCCTCTATTCCTATTTCTAACCATGTATTGGTGGTGAATCCATAGCCCTGAGAAACAAAAGCCTGGACTGGGATTCCCTGGATTCAGCTGAGGGCCAACACTAACCTCACTTGTCCTTTTCCTTTTCTTTCTCTTTTTTGGCCCAAAGCTGAAGCATGCTTTCTTTGACACTGGGCTTTCTCACTATTTTCTGAACTCCCGTGCCTAATTTAAAAGACATAACTGACTTTCTCTCCATCTCCTTCCTCCCAGCAACTAGCTACCTTGATTGACAGCTTACCTGCCCGTTGTTTTCCTCTCAAACTCTGATAAAATCATCCTTGAGCTTCTTTCAAGTCTGTTCTAAATTCTTAAAGAAGCTAAAAGAACCCATTAGGCAAACCCTGGATTCCCTGGTAGCATTGCTCTTCCAAATCAAGAAGTAGACAACAACTTTTCCCCTGCTTAACAAACCTTTCTATATGCCCTTATTTTCCGTACCTTTGCTTGTCACTTTTCCCACAATTTGCCACTGATGCTCCCCTCCTGGAGCCCAAATTCTATGCTCCCTCTAGTCTTTTCACACTCACTGTATTAGGGTTCTCTAAAGAAACAGAACTGGTAGAATGAATATATATGTGTAGGGATTTATCAGATTACCTTACAGGATGGAGTCCCGAGTAGTCCAGCAATGGCTGCACCACACTGGAGAGGCTGAGAATCCGGTAGTTTCTCAGTCCACGAGGCTGGCTGTCTCAGTAGTCCCAACCTGGTACTGAAGGCCTTACAAATTCCAAGAGATCTGCTAATCTTCAGTCTGCGTTGGAATCCGATCCATTGATCACAGCAACAAGATGAACTCACCAGTGAAAGAGAAGGCAAGGGGCAAAAATGCAAGAGCTCCCTCTGCCATCGCCTTTTATACTGGCCTCCATCAGAAGGTAACGCCCACACTTAGGGTGGGTCCTCCAGCTTCAGGTGATCCAATCAAGAAGACCTGTCTCATTTAAATTAATCCCAGAACCAGTCAAGTTGACACCCAGGATTAGCCATCAGACTCACCCATTATTAAAATAAGTAGACACAAGCCTCCAGATCTAACTACCTGTCTTGGGTTTTTTACTTCTTAAGAATGTCCAATGAGGAGCTGAAGAGATGGCTCAGCAGTTAAGAGCACTGACTGCTCTTGTAGAGGACCCAGGTTCGAATTCCAGCATCCACTAGCTAACAACTGTCCATAACTCCATTTCCAGGGAATCTGATGCCCTCTTCTGACCTCCATGGGCATTGCACGACATGGGTGCACTGATACACATGGAGGCAATACACTCATACAGATAAAAATAAAAATATTTTTTAAAAGATATTGAAGAATGTCCTATGAGCATTATTCCCAGTAGATGTCCCAGATACTGATCTAGAAGGTAGAGCAAAGGATTTTTTTTCCTCGCCTCTAAAATATATATCAAGAGAAATATGAAAGTTTCATTCCCTTACCTAAACAAGGATGTCAGCCTGATTGCCACCTACTGTCTACCACCAATATTATGAATATAGAGTCTTACCCAACGTAGAGGAACATCTGAATTATTCAAGTTCAGAAAAAGAGGTTTTTCACAGAGCTTCAAGAAATGACTGGGGCATGGAAACTACAATGTGAACCTTGGACATCTTATTGTGCCAAAAAGCAGATAAATGAGGACTGTCTTAAAACACAAGAATGCACTTGAAACAGCTTTCTGTGAGCAAATGGGAGACCATTGGCCATGAAAAAAGAATGACTATAATCATCATAGCACATCAAATACATAGGATTTATGAGTCCATAACGATCGATACTCAAAAAGTCAGGAGAAAAATATGGGCAACCATGGGAGGTAGCTATCACATCAATTCTTTAGTCTCCTTACTCTGAGAATTAGTAAATTAAGCATTTGTCTTTTTAGGTAGTAAAGGAAAGCTAGTTTTCATAGAGGAATGTCTAATAAATGTAGAAGACATGAAAGCTTACCATTTCACAACTACAACTGACAACTGGTTGACAAGGATACGATTGATGTATGCTAAAACCATTATCTGAAAGGTTAAAGGCAAGAAAGGTATTTATATGCTGCCAAAATATTACCCCACAAAGCATTTGCAACTTATTGAGGACAGAACATATTTTCACATGGTATAAATATATTTGGTTGTCATCACTATTAACATGTGCTTAAACTTAGCATCAATAACAGTGGGACAATTTATACCTCTTGTGTAGATTATTTCATCATCTGTGAAGTGCTTTTGCCAAAAAGTTTCACCTAGTTGGGGATTAGGTTGTAGCTCAGAGGAAGAACATGTGTTTAGCATGCACCTGGATTCCATCCCCAGTCTCAAGGGAAAATGCTTTACCTATGCTGCTAGGCTTGAGATTTAACTTCTAGTTTACAGAAACTCAAGGGCTAGAGGGACAAGTGAAATAACATGGTAAGGAAAGAATCAAACAAATCCAGAATGTGGAGCATTCTACAAAATAATAGGCTTGGACGCTGCATGACTAGTCATGGTGCAAGAACGTGGTAGCTCAAATCTGTACCCCACTAATCCAGTTATCTGCTAAGTGTACATCATCTACTGGGAAGAAAAGGTTTGTGTAGTAATAGGGAAGGATGGACATGACCTAAGGGGTGGAGAGTATGGATCAGATTATCAAGGCTCAACAAAGATATGCTATAGAGTCTGAACATTAGCTTCAAAACACTGGACCCCCCCCCCAGGTTGTTTTTCATAAACAAATCCTAGGAATGTTTCTCTTTTTTTAGACAGTGTCTCCCTGTAGCTGCAGCTGGCCTGGAACTTGCTGTGTAGACCAGGTTAGCCTTGAACTCATAGAGATTCGCCTGCCTCTCCCTCCCGAGTGCTGGGATTAAAGGTGTGCACCACCATGCCTGGCTCAGAATGTTTCTATTTAATTGATTTTCAATATTTATTTATTTATAAAGTTTTTATAAAACACCCTTCAGGGATTTTTTTTTTTTTAGGGCTCTATGTTAGTTTTCTGATTTCCTCTAACCTTAAC